TACCCTTATTGGTCGTAGCAATGTAGTGGGAGCTGCAAGATTCACGTGTTTTAACTTTGTCAGAGCACTTTGAAAAAGTGGTATGTGGTATCTGGAAAGCTGATGTTGCGTGTGAAGATTGCAGACAAGCTTTATCCAAGGAAATCTGGCTCTCGAAGTTCAAAGAGCGATGCCTCTTCGGTTTTCGAATAAGCAATCCTGTCGGGGATCTGGCTCTCGAGATTCGGAGAACGGTGCCTCTTCGATTTTTTAGAAAGCAATCCTGTTGGGAGTCTGGCTTTTGAGATTCGGAGAGCGGTGCCTCTTCGATTTTTTAGAAAGTAATCCTGTTGGGAGTCTGGCTCTCAAGATTCGAAGGCTGGTGCTTTTTCGATTTTTGAGCAAGTAATAATGCTATTCATTTACCCTTCTTGGTCATAGCAATGTAGTGGGAGATGCAAACTTCACATGTTTTAACTTTGTCAAAGCACTTTGAAAAAGTGGTCTGTGGTATCTGGAAAGCTGATGTTGCGTGTGAAGATTGCAGACAAGCTTTATCCAAGGAAATCTGGCTCTCGAAGTTCGGAGAACGGTGCCTCTTCGGTTTTCGAACAAGCAATCCTGTCGGGGATCTGGCTCTCGAGATTCAGATAACAGTGTCTCTTCGATTTTTGAGAAAACAATCTTATTGGGAGTCTGACTCTTGAGATTCAGAGAGTAGTGTCTCTTCGATTTTTGAGTAAGCAATCTTGTTGGGAGTGTTTTCTCGAATGTGAGTAAAGGTTGGGCATTTTTGCCAGTCTGCCTTGCCACGGAGCACGGAGGTTGACACACATTGAGACTTTCTAGTTATCAAGCAGTGGTGCTGTTCCTTTACCCTTGTGGGTAATAGTAGGGTAGATGGACCTTCAAAATTTATGTGTCTAAACTTTGTCAGAGATCTTTGGCAAAGTTATTTGTGGTACCCGAGGAGCTGATGTTGCGTGTGGAAAGTGGTGCCTCTTCAGAATCCGGAGAGTGGTGCCTCTTCGATTTTTGAACCAACGACCATGTTGCCCTTTCTTTTATAAGGGCACCAATTGTGTGCAAGGAGTACATTCAGAGAGTTATTACTTGTAGGAATTTTCCCCTACATCAGAGATTTATTGCACCTTATTTCTCCTTCATCATTTCTGAGAATGTCTGGCCCATCCGACCGTCGTTTTGACTTGAACTTTGGTGAAGAGGCAGTCGTGCCTTCTCAAGACAACATATAGTGCCCATCTTTCTTATCCCCTACTGGTCCTCTTACCGTTGGGGACTCTGTGATGAAGAATGATATGACCGCTGCGGTGGTGGCCAGGAACCTTCTCACTCCTAAAGATAACAAACTACTTTCCAAACGGTCTAATGAGTTGGCTATTAAGGATTCTCTGGCTCTCAGTGTTCAGTGTGCAAGTTCTGTGTCTAATATGGCCCAAAGCCTATTTGCTCGAACCTGCCAAGTTGAATAATTGGCGGCTGAAGTGATAAGTCTCAAACATGATATCAGAGGGCTTAAGCATGAGAATAAACAGTTGCACAGGCTCGCACATGACTATGCTACAAACATGAAGAGGAAGCTCGACCAGCTGCAGGAATCTGATGGTCAGATTTTACTTGATCATCAGAGGTTTGTGGGTTTGTTGCCTTCGTCTTCTGGGGCTGTACCGCATAATGAAACTCCAAATGATCAACCTTCGATGCCTCCTCCTTCTGAGGTTCTGCCTAGTACTGAGGCTCCGAATAATCACCTTCTGGTGCCTCCTCTTTCTGGGGCTCTGCCGACTGCTGAGACTTCTCCTGAGTAACCTTTGTGAAGGTTTCCTCTTATTTGTTTATTTTGATTTATGTATATGTACATATTTGTAACTTATCGGAGATATCAATAAACAAACTTTGCTTCATTTCAACGTATTGTGTTAAATACACCAAGGCCTTCTTCACTAAGTTCTTTGAATTTTTTCTTTTGTTGAAGCTTGTATGTTGAAGCTTTGTGAGTGAAGCATGTAGGTTGAGGTAGTGCTCCCTTAATTTCCCGAGTGAGGAAAACGTCTCGTTTGGAGACTTGAAAAATCCAAGTCACTGAGTGGTCGTGAGACTTCCGAGTATCAAGGTGCAATAACATATGGTAGGAGTCCCATAAGTCTCCAGTCGAGGGAGTTGACGAATGAGGCATTTCCTTTCTAAGCAGTAGCATATGGTAGGAGTCCCCTAAGTCTCCGGTCGAGGGAGTTGAAGAATGAGGCATTTCCCACAGACGGCGCCAAATGTTGATGCACAAAATCAGCGAGGACTTTGGTACAACAAAAAGTGTTAAGTTTGTGACATTCGCTAGATTGCTTCGGTTACTAGTGTGGATAAGTAAGTAAATGGATAGAGATAGGGAAGGAAACACAAGATGTACGTGGTTCACCCAGATTGGCTACGTCCACGGAGTAGAGGAGTTCTCATTAATTGTGAAGGGTTTACACAAGTACATAGGTTCAAGCTTTCCTTTAGTAAGTACTAGTGAATGATTTAGTACAAATGACATTAGGAAATATTGTGAGAGAATGATCTCTATTTATAGAAGAGAGTTTCTAGTTTCATTCTGGTTGACACGTGTCATGTTGTGATTGGCTTTTGATGTTGACACGTGTCGCGCTATGATTGGCTTCTGATGTCGACACGTGTCACGCTATGATTGGCCTCTTGGTTGGAGGGAAACTCTTCTGGGTTCTTGACGGTATAACGTTGACCGGTGCTCAGTAGTTTCGGGATTGGTCAAGTATGGTACAAACATAATCAAAGTGGAGTTTATTTCTTTTGCTTATTTACGTGGATGATATCTTGCTCACAGGATACAACAACACTCAAATGGCATGGTTGATAAAGAAGCTCATCACTTTATTTTCCTTGAAAGACTTGGGTCCCCTTAGTTTTTTCCTGGGTGTTGAAGCCACTTACATTGGAAACAATATGCATTTGACTCAATCCAAGTATGCCCTGGACTTGCTTCAACGAACAAAGTTTAAAGATGCCAAGCCTATTTCCACTCCAGTTTCTGCAGGACAAAAACTGAGTGCTTATGTTGGTAAACCTTACAAGTATCCGGATTAATATCGTAGTGTTGTCAGAGTGCTGCAGTATTTAACCATCACGAGACCGGATCTCTCATATGCCGTTAACCAGGTGTGCCAATTTATGCACTCACCCAAGGATACTCATTGGATGGCAGTGAAACGCATCCTGCGGTATTTAAAGGCCACGTATGATCATGGTCTTGTTTATAAACCTGGAGATATGCAACTGCATGCTTTCTCTGATGCAGATTATGCGGGCAATCTTGATACCTGCCACTCTACAGAAGGTTTTTGTTTTTATTTGGGACCAAATCTGGTGTCTTGAAGTTCAAAGAAACAGAAGACTATCTCTCGGTCGAGTAAGGAAGCCGAATATAGGCAACTAGCCTACACTGTTGCTGAGCTATCTTGGTTAAGGTCGTTATTCAGAGACCTTCATTTGCATCTTCATATTCCAAACATATGGTGCAACAATGTCTCTTTAATAGCCTTAGCTTCCAATCCCATTTTTCATTCGCAAACAAAACACTTGGAGGTTGATTATCACTACGTCCATGAGAAGGTGGTTCGAAAACAGCTTATGGTAAATTTTATTTGTTCTCAAGATCAGATTGCTAATTTGTTTACAAAGGGTTTGTCTTCCTCGCGTTTCAAGCTTTTGGTGTCCAAGCTTCCAGTTGTTTCTCGGCCTGTCAGCTTGCGGGGGGTTGTTAGACCAAGTCAGAGTTATCAAGAATCCAGCTCATGTTTAAACTCTAAAGTCTGTTATTCAGGAATGCAGTCCTTATCCAAGGATAACTCTGATAGGTCTAGATTATTTTAAATGTTTTAAAGTTTGTTTTCACAGATGTTGTATTATTCAAATTCAAATGTTGCCGTGTAAATAGGGATGATAAACCCCTGATGTAATCTCAAGATTATTATAAATACATGCAACCTATCAGTTGATGGGTATGCAAATTCTAAGCTGAAAACCTGAGAGTCGTAAAGTTTTACAATGACCACCCGAGTTGGAGCTTTACATACCTTCCTAGAAAGCCCCGACATGCGGTAAAAGAAAAACGTTGCAGATTTGGGAAATTGTGAGATCGAGAGAGGCTGGAACCACTAGGGAAAGGTAACAAATGGGTTGAAAAGTGTCATGGAAGTGGAAAATCAGCAGGGAAAGAGAGAAGATGGTTGGAATTGGGAATTTTCGAATGGAGGACTAAGATCAGATAGATCAGAGGCAAGAAATAGAAAAAAAAAAGGCCGGAAACAGACGGTAGAGGAGGAAAAGAAGGAAGAAGAAAAGAGGAAAAGAAGAAGAACGAGGGGTTGCCACCGACCCTGACCATTGCTAAGGCCGGCGGCTGAACGAAGCAAGCAAGGAGGGGCACACAAAGTGAGAAGCACTCTCACCACGAGAGAAAAAACTCTCACCGAAAGGGAGAGAAGCTTGGTGTCTTGAATTAGCTTGTTTGTAAGAATACTTAGAAATACCTTCTTCTTCTTCTTTTTTCCAATAAATCTGTTCGCAATTTTTTGCAAAAAAAAATCATGTTCAGGCACATGGAAATCAAACCAGAGATAATAACTTACCATTATGCCCAGCTCAACTATTTTTAAAGGAATTCAAAAGACTATGGAATTCACAACTTACGAAGCTTATAGATCAAGTAAGTAAGATCATATACTCCTACACTCGAGACTTTATATTTGAATTCCTCTGTTAAAACTTGGATTTTATTTGGAAAATTATAGTCCCTCAAAATTTACATTTAAATTTTATTTCGATTTTCCACCTCAGTCACGCTTTGTAGAAAAAAAATAAAAAATAAAAAACCAAATTATTCTTTGTCAACCTTAACCCAATCCCAATTACATCCTAAGTCCATCCCAGATACTTAGCTAAAGCAATAAAAAAGACATGCTAATTCAAGATGTGAAATAGAGAGTATGAAGCTTGAGATATCGGCGTTGGAGCATAGCTGCTTTGAAGCTAAGAAAATACAGGAAGAAGAAACTGCTGAAGAAAATACTAGGATGAGTTTGTTAATTCAAGATCTTGAGCTGTTCAATGTTTGGGATGCAAAGAAAACTGCTGAATTTTCCGAAATGGAAAATAAGGAACTTAGGAAGAAGCTTGATACACATCGGAGACAAATACTAGGGTATTCTGTCAGAAAGTTGAAAAAATTGGCTTGAGATGAACAGTGATCAACTCGACTGATCTAAGTCTTTGTTGGGTGAACTACAGGGAAAGCTCGCCTTGTCAGACGAAATGGGGTATCCTGTTACAATTACTCCATTCTTTACTGGTTAAGGATTCGTTTGAAAATACTTTTAAAATGATTGAGTGCATTGTGTTTTTTGCAGGAAGCACTTCAAGTGCATTTTTAGATTTCACTTGTATTTTTACTAAGGATTGGTCTCAAACCCTAACTTATACACTACATTTGGTCAAGTATAACAACGAATATTATCACCGTAAAACACAGTTCATCTTTCCAAACTCATCTAAAAATAACTTTTTCTTCGTACTTATGTGGTAATATTTTGATGAGCTTTCTAAAGCACGTATAGAGAAGATTGGCCCCCCTCTTTTCCAAACTGGCAATGGTACGTAGTCACACCAGATGCAGATTTAATAAAGAAGGGTAGAGAAGATGTCGCGGCAGATAGAAGATTACGAAGTTCTTACCCAGGGAGGCATAATTAAGACAATTGATTTTGACTGCGTTTATTAGAAAATCTATCTGACTGGTTGCATAAATTGTACTTCAAGCTTTCAAGTGCGAATTCAATCAGTATTGTCTTTCCGAGTTTTGAGGTTATATAAGTTAATCATAGCTTCTAAATCTTACATTACTTATGGTTGTTAGGAAGAACTGAAAGAGGAAAAGTTGAAGGCAAACGAAGAAGCGGAGGATCTAGCTCAAGAAATGGCTGAGTTCAGTCTGTTCAGATATACCGATCGAATGACAGGTTTGCTTGAAGAAGAGTGTAAGCATCGTGCTTGCATCGAGCAAGCATCGTTACACAGAATTGCTGAGTTAGAAGCACAGGTATTGATGTTTAGATTTGTAATGTATGTTTCAGTTACCCGTGAGAGCACACATCTGAAACGTATAATCTTGTTTCTGTGATATAAAAAAGAACGGACCAAATCCATTGCCGCTCTCCGACATCTTCATGAACGCCGAAGGTAGTAGCATTCCCCGTATTACATGGTTAATATTCCAGCGTCAGTTCTCACTCTTATGGCTGTGGATCGATCGAAGGATTGTACAACGATAGCATGCGGAACTTGCATTCAATTTTTTTCGGATTAGGACATTCCCATGTATCAAGGACTTGTTTGGGGGAGGGGTGTGGGGGGAGAGAACCGAGGGGTGTTGGGAGGTATGGTCTAAAAATATGGTCTTTTTAGCATTTTTTTTCTCGATGTACCGAAAATATTATGTAGCTTCAAGAAAATAGGCTGCCATGAAAGTTCTGCCGAGTTTTAGAGGCGGTTGGTGATCACCGGTCGCTGAAGCACTCTTATTGTTTTACCCTTGTTAGCCGTGGACAATATGGAATCCTCATTGTTTGTAAAGTACACAAATCTTAAGGCTTAAGAATTTAATTTGTAGATGTTGACGTTGAAGACTTCCGCGAAGTTGCTTCATAAAATATTGGTTTGAAAGTCTAAAAAAATTGTCCACTGTTTGGTTGCTGAGAAAATGGACTTTAGGAAATGAGTAAGGTCAAGCCAACCGAACCGAGTCAAAATGCATGATGAAAAGATTTTCTAGAATGTGATTCTCTTCCTTGCATTTTCTTAGCAACGAAACAGACCAGATGGTTTTTTTAATTGAGTCACAATTTGCGTGTTGGATTCAAAATATTATATAACATATGTAAATACAAATATAGATATATTTCTTTATCAAAAAAGCCGGCCCTTCTCGGGAAAGGGATATAACAAATGGTGACTTTTCTCCTAATTAATTAGAAGGTTTTTTTGGGGCCAAAAACTAAAATATAAAAGTTGTACAAGTATTCTGAAACTTGAAAATTGGAAGTAGAAGTCCTTCTATCTTTCTTATGGTACTGGAATTAAATATCCTGCGCATTGGCTACATTTCTTGCCTCCATTATTTTTCCATTTTTCTTCTTGTGGTACATCATTGCCCAAATGAATATTAAAAGATGAATGGTGAAGATTATTTATAATTGAATGGTGTAGATTGGTCTAGCTGATAAAAGTTATTAGAAGAGTTGTTAGAAGGATATAGAGTTAGTTGTGTTTGTAAACTCTCTCTCATTTTTTTGTAATCTATTCAACTTAGAAAATATCATTTCAAGCTTTCATTTCTTTCTAAACCTTCATCTTCTTCTTCTATGTTCTTCTGTAACTTGGATAGTTTCATGCCTCTTCCAATTTAGTTAATAAGCAAGAATATAAATGATGGTTTAGTGTGGTAACGGAAAGTAATTATGTCTATACACCACAGTGCATGTTCTATCCTCATCGATCCCCTCCGCCCCCTAATAACTAACAATTTAATCCACTAACATTATCGCTTGTAAAAAAAAAAATTAACAAAAACAAAATATAAGCATAAATTATGAAAGGCCTCCAAGCAAAAAAGGATAAATATTATGTGAAGCAAAGTTATTAGTTAATAACACCACAAATAATCTTTAAAGTCTATGCATGAAATTATTGTTTTCAATTAAATAGTTTTCTTTATAAAATAAAATTGTGAGAAATAAATGTGTATTGCTGTACAATGTACAAGTCATAATTGGATATCAAATTTACCGGAAAAAAAAATTGAATCTAAGACCTTCTACTTGTATATGAAGATAAATACCACCAAATCACTATACTAGTGAAACACTACAAAGTACGCGTTAGTGGTACTAGTTGTTGTTACTTCATAACAAGGATGAACTCATTTTATGAAAATTACATTGATGTTAAGGAAATATTCTAAATCATGAAGGAAAAAAAAAATTAATTTGAAGGTAAAGGAGTGGACACACTAACAAACATATGACATATCTTAAAAGACTTGTAGTAGTAAGGGTAGTGTTATTCACACACTCATTTTTCTTCCCACACACTCCTTATTAATTTAGATACTTTGATTTTCTTCAATTCATTCGACTCAGGGACAAAAAATTGAAAAGTGTGTAAAAGGTATGAGTGTGTGAATAGCATCGTCCTTGCACTAATTGCAAAGGATAGTACCAACTTGCCAAGGGGGATTTAATTACAAATACTCAAAGAAGTGGTCCAAACCATCCATTTAAGAATAATTTGATTTGTTCAACTTGGACCATCTAGAAAATATAATTGACATGCAAAAGTAATTAATTAAAAGAGGATGGTAAGAAAAAAAAAACACACACACAAAAATCACCAAAACACTGCGTTTTATAGCCCCAGATCACGGGAAATTACAGTTTCTCGCCAGTTTCCATCTTCAAAGCCTACGTCTTGCGACTCCGCGTATTACCAAGTCTTTACCTTTGAATACTTCCCTTTCCCTCTTTCCCCACTCTTTAAAATCTCTCTCTCCTCTCTCTCTCTCTCTCAAAAGGTCTGGCCTTTCGTGCGGAGTCAAACTTTTCCACCCTGCGAGACAGTTGCTGTGATTTCTCAGGTACCCAAATCCTTCTCTTTCAAACGATTTCTTGGATTCTGCTTCTGCTTTTCGATTATTTTCTGCTTTTTTCCACATGGGTTGTCCTGTAGCCTCCCTGTTTTTGTCCGTTTTTATCTAACGGTCGACTTCTCTACCTTTAATTTCAAATTCCCAGTTCTGAAATTATCTACATGGGTTTTGTGATTTTCTTGTTTGGTTGCTGAGAAATGGAGGAAAACGCAAGGAAAATGGGATTTTGTGTTGTTTTGTTTGTGAAGTTTGGGGTTGTTTGAGTAATGAACAAGGTCAAGTCAACCAAGTCAAATTGTTCATTTTTCTGGGATACCCATATGATGAAGTTGGAATTTGATTCTTTCTCTTGTTTTTTCTTGGCAACCAAATTAAGCAAATGGGGTTGTTGAGTTTGTGATTGAATATTGTAGATGCTATTGTTTTAGGTCTGATCTCGTTTTATTTTTTCGATTTTTCGTATTAAAATATTGTATGAATTTAGGAATTGGGCAACCTTTTCAATTTCTGTATGTTTTCTGTACAAGTTTGTGTTGCTTGATTTGGTCCTCATCATTCAATTGTGTTGTTTCTTCTCTAGTGTATTTCTTCGAAATTGATCCCTCTGTGTTTGAGCACCGATGCTTTTGTTATATTGCCATTATCTCACATATTGTTCTTGTTTTGCTTTTCCAGGATTGCTGTTGATCTCTGTATAGATTTCTAATTACCATATTTTTTTAGTTCTTCTAAGATCTTCAACGCGGCCCAAGTAAAGTGTGCACATTTTTCCATCGAAAATGTTTGGTTTAAAGAAGTCTCCTTTGAAGTCTGCTAAACATATCACACTGAATCCTGTACATCCGGCGTCCTCTGACTCAAACCCTTTTGAAGATGCACCGGTTGGACAGAATACAAGCACTAATCCATTTGATGGCCAGCGAGGGCAGGAGAAGTCTTCTTCCTATGCATACAAGACTGTTTTGACTGAGAGGAACAAATACAAGAATGATTTCCGTGACACAGGAGGAGTACAGAATCAATCAGTGGAAGAGTTGGAGAACTATGCAGTGTACAAGGCTGAGGAGACTACAAAAGCAGTCCACGGCTGCTTGAAGATTGCTGAAGAAATGAGAGAGGATGCTACCAAGACTTTGGTCATGTTGCATCAGCAAGGCGAACAAATCACTAGGACCCACATGGTTGCTGCAGACATGGATCAGGATCTTACTCGGGTACGTTATCAAATTAAAAATATATACTTGATACATCAAGAATAAGTGCATATAAAAGGATTGGACATGAAAGTATTATGTCCTTATAGTTTTATGGTGTACCATTGGAGTTCATCGGTTTTGTTTTCTATGAAATTTTGTTATTGCAAGTGACCTTGTTCGTACATGTATTGTCTGTTTCGTGTTTGTAATATGTCTGTTTGTCCTATTGGTCTTGATTTCTGTCAGAACTTCCCCATTCCAAACCCCTGGCTCCTCCTGGAGAGAGCTTGATTATATCTTACACAGACTTTTTTGCCTTTTTTGTGAACAATCGCTTCCTTTTCTCTTCTCTTCACTAAGAATTATGCTTCTTTTAGATTTGCAGTCGGCTTGCAACAACTCCTATCGTTTTGTTACTGTTTCTTTTGGGATATACGATGATCTTCTTCAGCAAACTGAACAATTGAACTTGCTTATTTCAGGGTGAAAAGCTTCTGGGAAGTCTTGGGGGCATCTTCTCTAAGACTTGGAAGCCAAAGAGGACTCGCCCAATACGTGGCCCTCTCATTACAGGAGGTTAATTTTCTTTCTTTTCTGTCCATGACTTACATGCTCCATCTTTGTGTCCATGGAAAAAGTAACAATGTCGTCAGTTTGTGTTGGAAAATAATAAAATTTTCATTTCAAAAATTGGAAAATGCAGACCATGCAGTCAGAAAGGGCAGCCAGGAGGAGAGGGAGAAGTTGGGACTGGCACCAGCACCCAAGGGAAGATCTAATCCACGAACATTACCTGATGGACCAACCAGCACCCTTCAGAAAGTCGAGGTTTGTATTTGTTATTAACTTGTTACTAATAATTGTATCTGTAGAAAACAAGAGAGTATATTAACTGGTTTTGTTTGCTTGCCATATGAAATGCTTTGTTCTTCCTCAAATCTTCTGGATGTCTAACTTTTTGGCTTAAACAGGTTGAGAAGGCGAAGCAAGATGATGGATTGTCCAATTTAAGTGATCTATTGGGAGAGCTGAAGGGTATGGCCATTGACATGGGGTCTGAAATTGAGAGGTAAGTTATGATGATTCCGATACACAGGCGTGCCTGCATTTTTCCAATCATTCTACACCCTTAACCTTTATTTGCTCATCCAGCCTGCGTCTTTCTGAAGGCATTGTAGAACTATATGTAACTAGTTACTTCCGTAATACGTGCAGGCAAGGCAAATCTCTGGACCATCTCTACGATGATGCTGATGTGTTAAACAGCCGTATTGGAGATGCAAATCTACGTGGTCGTCGCTTGCTCGGAAAGTAGAATGCAGGGTTGTAGATGCTTTCCTGGACAGACCGGATTGTATTTGCGTCTCCCCATTCTTTCAGATTGTGTTTGCGGCTCCGTCTCATACCCCTCATTCTTTTCTCCCCATTCATT